GGCCGGGGTCAGCGGGGTCAGCGGGGTGAGGGGTTGGCCGGCGGCAGCCGCGGAGGCCGCGTTCGCCCACCTTCCCGCTCAGCCGCTCGGGGCTCCCCGCCCGGTACCTGCTCCCCACGTCCCTGGTGCTCCCGGCCCGGGAACTTTGACGCCTGCCGTGGCCGACCCATCCCACCGCTCTCTCCGTCTGTCCCGGGGCGGCGCTCTCTGCCTGCTTCCCCGCAGCACGGGCTCTCCTCGCGCCGGCCTTCCTACTTCCCTTACACGGGGCGCCTTTCACACGCGAAGCACTAGCTTCCTCGCGGCCATGTTCTCCCCCACGCTTGCCTTTTCCTTCCCCCGAACTCACTCAGGTCCTGTTCTCTCGGTAGACTGCAGTTTGGGTCTGGACGGCACTCCTGACCGCACTGTCTCTCAGTTTTGGGATCAGGGTGACACTGTCTCCCATAAATGAATTTAGGAGCATTCCATACTTTTCAGTTTCTTTGAAGAGCTTGGGTAGTATCAGTGATACAACATCCTTAAAGATTTTGTAGCCATCAGGTCCTGGGAATTTTTTAGTTGGTAGAGTCTATTTTTTAAGGCAGGGTCTTGCCATGCAGTTCAGGCTGGTCTTGAACTCACTATGTAGCCCAGGCTGGCCTCAAATTCACAGCAATCCTTCTGCCTGAGCCTCCTAAGTGCTGGGATTACAGACATGTGCCACTATGCCTGTGCCAATTTCATTGTTTGTTATTTGGTTATTAGCATATTTATGTTTTCTTCGGTTAGTTTTGGTCGTTTGTGTACGTCTAGGAATCTATTTCTTCAAAATTTGCTAATTTGTTGGAATATAATTTTTCAAAGTCATTACTGTCTCTCGATTTCCAGTGCCTGTTGTGATTTCACCTGTTTCTTTTCTAATTATATAGATGTGAGTCTTTCTAGCTAAGGGTGAGTCTGGCTAAGGGCTTATCTATTTGATTTATTTTTTCTAAGAACCAGCTCTTCGATTTTTAAAAATATTTATTTTAGTCTCAATTTCATTGATTTATGCTTTCATCTTTATAATTTCCCTCCTTAATTTCAGTTGGGGGCTGATTTATTATTGTTTCTCAAGTACATTAAGATTTACACAAAGTTATTCATCTGGGCTTGCTCTGTTTTCCTAATGTGAGCGTTAATTGTGATGAATTTTCCTCTTGGAGCCGTTTTCAGAGTGCCAGAAGTTGCATTAAGTTGTATCCTCACTGTCATTAACATTCAGAAATTTTAAAAATTTTACAATTTCTTCTGTGATTTTCTGTCACCCATTGGTTGTTTAGAAGTATGTTGTTAATTTTCCAGGAGCTTTTGCCTTTTCTGAAATTTCTTCTATCGTTGATTTCTATTTTTAATTACATAATCACCTGATAGTATGCATGGGGTAATTGTGATGGGCTGCCCTTGAAACCTTTTCTCAAGCTACGCCTCGGACTTGCCTTGGTCATTCCCCAGCTGGAACTTTGCCAGGCGTCTCTCATGGAAGCCTCTGAGTCACCAACCCGCTCTTCCTTAGACCCCTTCTGAGTTAGCCTGCAGACAGCAGGGAGGGCTGCCCTTGTTCCTATCTGCTGAAAAGAATGCATACTCTGTTTTCAAGGAATTTGCCATTACCCAGGCTGGGGAGTGGGGGGGCTTTATTTAGGAGAGACAAAAACAAACAATAAAACTCCCAAAGAAACAACTGTTGAGTCCTTTAGGTTGTGGTCATGAAATGAGTTATAAATGTACTCAAGAGAGAACTAAGACCAAAATCAGTCTCTCTCTCTCTCTCTCTCTCTCTCACACACACACACACACACACGCACACACACACACACACACACACGAGATAAAACATTCAGGGTCTTGTTAAAATAAGAAAACCCAATAAAGACCTTACCCTCCAGACTGGGATGAACCAGTCTCTCCCCCAGATCCTTTACCCCTAGACTCTGATGTCTATGCATATTCTCCTTCTCCCCTCCACCACTCCCACACAGACATTTAAGGACCAGAATCCCCGCACGGCCTCTGAGCAGAGGAAAGTTCAAGTTGCAGGCGGAGTTGGAGAGCCAGCCTCAGGCATTCTCACTGAAGGCTGCTTGCCTCAGGCAGCCTGGGGTCTCATGAGTGTGCTCCGGGAAGACACAACAACTTCTCCAGTCCTATGTCTACGTAAGGGCCGGAGGGAGAGGTCTGGGCCAACAGATCCACATCCCAAAGCTTCAGGCCTCTGGGAAGATCAAGGGCAAAACTTTAGTCCCATGTGAACAAATGGACTACCCTAGGCACCTCAAACTCAGAGAGTATGGAACAGGGAATACAGGGTTGGGGTCTCCCTGCCCAGGCCAGGGAATTAGCAGACATCCTTGTGCACAAACCCCCTAGTTTCTGCCTTAGCAGGGACAGCTTTCTGCAAAACATACTTCAGATATAAGAACTTTTTTAGTGTCTCTTCCTGGGATGGAAGGTCGCTGCGAAGCCCGGTCAGTGTCCACTGTCTTCATGGCCCTGGGGACACTGAGATCAGGAGGGCATGCCTGTCATGTCCTCAATCTGGAGATGCAGCTGTCATGCCCAGAGGAAGGTCAGTCCAGGAGGAAATCCTGGCCCAGGCAGAGGCTGCAGAGCTGTAACCGCAGAGCTCTTCCCAGCCAGGCCCATGGGAAAGGACAAGAGTGGCAGGGTGCAGAATCACCTCCCAAGGGATCTCAGCAGAGGGCCAGACTTGTCTCAACAGGGACAGGCAGGTCAGATTCCAGGACAGACATCTCTGGAAAGGTGAGTTCAGTCTCCCGGGAGCTCAGGTCTCCATTCAGGCCCCACTAGTTTGGGCCAAAGATATCAGCAACCTCTAGTCATCATCTCTACTGCCCAGGCCTGGTCTTTGGGGAAAAATCTTTTCTAGCCAGCCAAAAAAGAAAGAAAGGAAGGAAGGGAAATTCCTCTTCTGGAAGAAAATTCTCTAACCCAAAGAGATACTTCAGACAAAAAAATAAAGTCTGTTACAATAGATCTCACACTGACACATCTTCTGAAGAGGATTTTCTCTGTCAGGACCAGGGGTATGTTTTCTTCCAAGTGGCCTGTCTATTCTGAGAGATGAGGGGTGTCTCTTGTCTTTGTTGTACTTGAGTAACTTTGGAATCCCAGGAGTCTGAGCTTAGAGGCAGGAGGCAGCTTCTGCTTGTACTCGAAGGTCTGCTTGGCCTCTCGCAGGTGACCAGGGTCCTGAGGGAGCCCGAGGGCAGCACCGCGCACCGTGCCTCTTACACTCCAGGTTCACTGCTTCTGCTCAGGTGCCGTATTTTTAAAATACTTTATTTTTCATAATACTGTCATTACAAAAGATACAAAAAAAACTACTATAAAAACATTCAGGGGCTTGTCAAAGTGAGGAAACCCAAGGACCCCACCCCAGAGCCAGCTGAAGCAGTGCTCTCCCAGCCCCTTCACTCGTGACGTTTGTACACCTGGGGAGCAGGGTGGGGTCACACAGGCATAGAGGGGCTGGAATCCCCCACTCAGCCTCCAAGGAGGGTGGGAAACGAGTAGCTTCACATATCACAAAAGTGGGACGTGGAAGTTGGGGGGGCGAGGCCCTGAGTTCAGAGGTGTGGGGAGAAACCTGTGGCCCTGAATCTCTTGTGGGGGAATAGCTGCCACCGGACCCCAAAGCCCTTTCCCTTCTGGAGGAACTGGGAGGTGGGCCCTGTCCACCTCAGCGCTTCCTCCCTTTCCGCACCCTTGGACATTCCTCAGAGCAGCAGGGAAGGCAGAACCACCGGCTCTGCCGGGTGCAGGCTGGGCAGCTGCGGGGGAGACTGCTGAGGGTCAGTTCATCTCCCTCCCACAAATGAAAAGTGTCTCGTGCACAGTGGCCCTGTTCGAGGGTGCCGACTTTCCCTTCCTGTCTCCTCGCCTCTTATCTCACGGAGAGGTACGCACAGCTCCCGATGAGTGCTTCGTGGGCATGGATATGTGTGCGATAACCTGGACACTGTGGATCCAGGGGAGGGGGTGCGAGGCCAGTGTCCTTTGTATCCTCTTCCTCCCCCAGACAGGAGGAAGCGAAGGGAAGGGAGAGGAAAGGTATCAGCAGGGCGGAGGAGGAGGCGGACATGCTATTTACAGGCACAGACAAGGGATCTATATCTTCAAGTAGCACTCAGGCCACTCCTGGCCACTGGAGTAGAAACTGGATTCAAAGCTAGTGACATGAAAATTGACCCCTGGCCTGGGCTAGCTTTCCCCACCTCCCTCCCATTCCCCAAGGCAGCCCAGCTCTGAAAAGGGTCAGGGGCAGGAACACTATCCTGAAAACCAGTGGTTTTTTTTGCATTTTAGAAAAAGTTGCCAGTGTCCAGTGGATGTCAAGCTGGGCGCACACTGGATAGATGAGTGTGGGGTATTGCTGTGGTAGACTCTGCACCAGCGGGCCAGAGCCTAGGAACAGGGTAGGTGCTGCTTAAGGATCTGTCGAGTCTGTGGTGTTAATCTATCCGGGAAGCGAACTTTGAACTCCACGATGAGGTCTCCCCGCTGAGTGGGCACCTTGGGGAAGGGAAGGCCCTCCCCACGCAGTCTCTTCACGGTGCCCGGCTTGATGACGTCATTGCAGGGCAAAGGGATCACTCGGCCATCGATGGTGGGAATGTTCACGGTGCAGCCGCACAGCGCCTGGGAAATGAGGCAGAGAGTGAGGAAAAGGCTAGACAGAGCGCGAAGGGAGGACAGCCCTGGAGATGGGGACAGAGTGTGGCAGGAAGGAGGGAACATTTCCTGTCACCCCCCACCACACACACACACACACACACACACACACACACACACACACACACACACCCGAGCAGGCCCCACCTCCTTGAGGCTGATCAGGGCGCTGTAGAGCACATTGGTGCCATCCCGGCGAAAGTGTGCATGGGGCTTGTCCTTGAGCACGAAGACGATGTCGGCAGGGATGTTGTCGGGCGTGGCATCGCCCTCTTTGGGGAAGGTGATCTTGGTGCCTTCCTTCCAGCCACGCTTGATGACGATGTGTAAGATTTTGTCCTCGGTGCGCACCGTTCGCCCATCAGGGTTGAGGCGCCGCCTTGTGATCTTCATGCGCTTGGTAGAGCCGTGGTAGATCTCCTCCAGGGACACTCGCAGCTCGTGCACCACAGGGGGGTCCTGCACTTTGCGCCGGGGGTACAGTGGTTCTGGGGCTCGCCTTGGACCCCTGCTTAGCCCATTGAAGCCAAAGCGGCCAAAGGCGCCAAACGGGTCCTCATCTTCATCCACATCCATGTCATCGGGGTCAAAGCCACTGAAGGGCCGAGTGGAGCGGCTGCTGGCAAAGAAGATATCGAAGGGGTTGGAGCCGCCAAAGAAGGAGGCAAAGGTGGCGTGAGGGTCCCCATGGAAGGTGTAGTGGAAGGAGCCACTGGAGCCGCCTGAGGTACCACCGCCAGTCTTCAGGCCTGGAGGGAGGAGAAGTTAGGGGCAGTGTGGTCCGTGCCAGAGCCACCCCACGTCTTCCCCCGCCCTCTAGCTTTTGGTTTGTGGGCCCGAGAAGGAAGCAACCTTTCATTCCTATGGAGGGGGCCAGACCAACAGAGCAAGAAGGGCTCTGCAAGATTAATTTCCACTCAGTTAACTACATATTTAAGCATCATATACATCTTGAGGTCAGATTACCCAAGAGTTGGAAAAGCCAGGTCTGGGGTGTTTATGGGAGGTGACCTCCAGTCCTGTAATCTTTCCCACATACTCATAGCCCAGAGATATCTCACAAAGCCTCGAATGACTGGCCTGGTGTCACACGACAAGTCACACCTGGCTCCCCAGTTTCTGCTCATCTCCAGAGACACCCAGGACGAGAGGCAACCTGACAGGATTTGACCACGTACAGGGCTAGTACGTGACCTCTCCCAAAGAGGGCGGAGACACAGTCCTGGAGAAAGCGCACTTTTTAACTTTGCTTCTAGTAATCCTTCTTTTTTCCCTGACTCTTGCCCAAATGGGAATCAGAAGAATCAACAGGCAGGAAAGTTAATTAATTTGAAGACAAGGAGCTATTTTTTCTTGAAAAAGGTTCCAAATAAGCTGTGCACAGCACGGTACAGCCTCAGTGGGTGTCATTCACACACTGTATCCACACAGCCTACAGGAGAATGGAGCTCCCTGGAGCTATACAACAGTGGGCCCTACATCCACTCCTAATGCTGGGCAAACCGCGTGAATGGGTTGGCACGATGCGGGCGGCGACCTCAGCTGTTCTCTCTGGAGCCGAGTCCTGACTAAGAGAACTGACTCCTGGATGCTGCCTTCAAAGGGTGGTGGTGGTGGTGATGGAGACAATGGGGGTGGGGGAAATCAACTCAGAGCTGATCCAGAATTTGTAGGCTCAGGGGTGGGGCCCCTTCTCTTTAAGGCCTTTTATCTAGAATTTCAATTGGCCATGGAAGCCTAAGCCTAAATTAGCCTATTACTTCTTGGGGCTACGAAGGCAGATCTGGATTTCGTTACACAGGCCAAGTGGCAGGCGGTGCAGGGACTTGTGCAGCTGCCTCTTCACCCCTCCCCCAAGACCCAGGCTCTGTTATTTCCTCTACTGAGGGGGTGACTCTCAAGCAAGTTCAAGAAGCTTGGCGAGCTCAGTGAGGGAGGGAGGTTGGACTAAAGACAGGAGCGGGTGATTCTCCCCGTGGGGTTCCTGCGCTGCCACCACCACCTTTTCAAACTGGGAACAACTTGTCCCAAGCTGGAGCTGCAGAGTCTGTATGCACAATTGTTCTGGCTTTGGGGAGGAGGCAGGGTGGACAGAAATGTAACCATTGCCAAGGCTGCTGCTTGCTCCCCTGGGGCCTGGAGGTCTGGATAAGGCTGTGGAGCATCACCAGGGCCCTCCTGGGATAGGGATCTGCATCTGGATCCAGTGTCCGGGCCCAGAGTCTGAGAGGTGCCCTCCACTTAGGAGCGGTAAAGTTTTAGAGTAGCTGTCCCTGTCCTTGCTTCTTTCTAAACAAAGGCAAGGATGAGGGAAGAATGAGTGCAACTCTGAGACAAGGCACACGGTGGCACAGTGTCTACGGGCTTCCTTCTCTCCCAGTCCTCCTCCTCCCACCCCTCCATCCCAGAGGGAAGATGCTGGGGATACCGCTGGGGATCCCAGCAGCTTCCCGGTGAACCTGGGAGCTGGTAAGCGCCAGAAGTGGACAGGAAGAAATGGAGGGAACAGCGAATAAGAGAGGGTTGGGAGGACTGGGACACACAGAGGACAGTGGAACACAAAGCAAGGGGTAGGGGGAAAAGAACATCTTCTGAGCCCCTGCTTTGCATCAGGCATAGTACATACCACTGGCCCATTCCACTTTGAAGACAAGGTGGGGAAGATAACGAGCAGGATAACGTGAAAGAAAGGTGGATGTTTGGGGGGAGGAGGGACAGTTCTCCCAGGAAGGAGAGTCCTCAGCTGTGACAATGTCTCTTAATATAGCCTGACAGGTGCCTGCGGCTGGCGGGTGGCAGGCGGCCCTGAGGGGCAGGCCCAGAATTAGCAGCTACATCATGCCCGTGGGATGCGTGGGGAGGGGCCACCCTCTCAGAGACTTTATTTGGGCCTTTCCTGCCACCCGCCCTGTGCTTGGCCACCAGCTGCCCCAGGGAGGGGGTAAGATGCCAGCAGCAGTTCCCCTTGCAGCCTTGGATCCCTGCCACCTCCTCGGTGAGACGAAGCTCCGTCTCTGCTCTGCTGGCCTGAAGTGGGCAGGGGTGGGGGAGGGAAGGGGACACCCACTTCCACTCAGAACTCCGGCGGTTAATCCTTAGGCTGCCCAAGGGCCAGACTTTTATGCTGATGAACGTAAATGCTCTGTCCTCAGAAAGCCATAGAGCTCTTCCCATCAGCCAATGGGCAGCGGGGACTTCAGGCAGGACTAATAAGGCTGGGAAGGGAAAAGGGAAGGCCTCTGGCTCTGGCTTCAGACCTCTGGAGCCTGAACTGGAAGAGGGAGAGGGGGAGAGAGGCCGGGAGAACCACCGTAAACTGAGGCTGGGCAGCGCGAGGTCTCCCTTCTTCCCCGGTGTCTGTACTAAGATCACTTGCCCCCCTCGCCCTCCTGAGCCTCCATTCCCCGACTCCAGAAACACACAGGGTTCCCAGCCTGGGCTGCAGCACCCTCTTACCTTCCTCCCCATACTGGTCATACAGGCTCCGTTTCTTAGGGTCACTCAGCACGTCATAGGCCTCTGCAATCTCCTTAAACTTCTCCTCAGCGTTGGGTTCTTTGTTTTTGTCTGGGTGGTACTTCAAGGCCATCTTCCGATAGGCTTTCTTGATCTCATCCTCATTGGCCCCTGACGGGATCCCAAGAATCTTGTAGTAATCTTTTCCCATCACAGCCACTGGACCGGTGCTGGTCTCCTTGTTCCTGAAAGAAACCCACAGCCAATCCTTGGTGCCCCTATTCTCTACTTCCCAGCCCTGTCCCTGATGATCCTACAATGTCTAAATGATACCCTGTGTGACCTTCAGCAGGTCATGCCTGTTCTGTGGACCTCTGTCTCCCCATCTGTAAAATGAAGGATTTGGATTAGACGATCTCTCCCAGCTCTGCCATCCTAGGATTCTGTGATTCCTTCCTCAGCTTCTGGGTTTTCCCAGCATGAAGCTGAATGTTGCAGCCCACGTCTTGGGGCCAGAGGACTCCTGAGAGGCCCTTCTGAGGGAGGTGGCGGCACTGGGGACTGACAGACCCAGGCACAAAGGCTGCAGGAGGTCGATGTACTGGGTGAGGTCACCTGAACATCATGGCTCCTACGCCACACCTCAGGCATGGTGCCCGTGCTGAGAGCAGCTGGGGCAGTGCCTAGGACTGGGAAGAGGCTGGGTCTTCAGCCAGCTGTCCTGGCCAGCCAGGCTGAGTCAGGGTATGGATGTCTGGCGTTCTCCCTTCCTTTGGAGACCCCAAGCCTCCCTGCCTCTGCCCCCTAGACTATGCTTAGCCTCACGTGTGACTCAGATCACGGTGACTCACACCTTTGCTGTTCCAACGCCCTCATTAACTGGGGGTGACACTGTCCTTCCCCCAATCAGGGCAAGCGTTGCCTTTACTCATTTCCTAATGTCTACACACAGAGCTGTGCGTGCAGACTTGTCTGTGCTGCTTAAGCATCAGTGAAGAAAAGCTTCCCTGGGATAGGGCTTTTTCGAACCCTAACCGCTAGGAGACAACTGGACACTAGCCACCGTTTCCTAAACACCCTCCCTGCGAGTCCCTCCCTCTCACCTGTCCTGTGGTTTAGGGTCTGGCCCAGCCCACACACCTCTGATAACCCCTTCTAAGCAGGTGCTGGGGCATTTGATACATGAAGGAAAAACACAGACTCTGATTCTCTGTCTGGTCGCCCCCCCCCTGCATCTGTGAAGCATATTAAACAAAAGGGGGCTTTCCTCTGTCCAGAGCTATTTGGGGGAACGTCCAGAAGCCATTCTCTAGCTCATCTGAGACTCGGCCAACCCCTGCCGAAGCTGGGAGAACCGAGGTCTTTCTAGCAATGTCCTGGGCTGGCGGCCACAGCCCAATCCTGCTTTTCTGCTATGACTGCTTCAAGCCAGCGAGGTGTAGGGGACCCTGGCAGGGATGAAGGCTGTGACTGGGCAACGGGGGAGCCGCCAAAGCCCCAGGTAGGCACTGACAGTGACCCTAGACCCTGCCCCCGCAGGGCCTGTTGCAGGTGGCTGGGCTGACTCACGGTGCCGGGAGTCACCTCATTCTGACAAAGAGCAGGCACCATAAAGGCGGGCACTCCCCCATCTCCCCACACCAGCATGTCACGGCTGTGGGGGGACTGGGGTTGGGGGAGGCAGAGAAGAAAGAGCATCTGGAGGAGGGCAGCCATTTTCGGAAGCAGCAGTAGAAGCCATCTGAGAGGGAGCTGGGGGTGGTCTGCCATCTCCGCCTCGGCCCGCACCTTCTTCCCCGGGGACTGGGAAGGAACCCTAGCACACCACCGGGTGCTCCCGGGACCGCGGGCAGCTTCTAGCCTGAGGGCAAGTAGAACCATTCACCGTCCACCCACCTCCTTTTGTTGTCCCCGCATTACCTTTTCTCCCGGCCAGCTTCCTCCCTGGAACCCACCTGCTAACTATTCTAGACCCACGTCCCAGACTCGGGCGAACTGTTTCCCGACATGCCTCCTCCTCCTCCCGGCCACCCTCCCTCCCTCTGCCTGCCCGCCGGCAAGCCACGTGGTGGAACGACAAAGGAGCCCCATGGCATGGCACTGCCTTTGATGGAGAAGAATGACAGCGCGTGTTAACCAGCGGCAGGGGTACAACACGGGAGAATGGCAAGCGGCACTGCTGGGGCACGGGGGGGCGGGGTGCTGATGTGGAAAATGGAGCACCGAGGCAGGAGGTGGAGAGAGGACACGAGAATGGCGGAGGCGGACAGTGAGGGACCGGTGGGGCAAGTGGGGGCACCGAGGGAACACTGCGACACTGGGGTCGGAGAGATGAATGAAAGCGCGCAGCTCACTGGCGCGCCGGGATGGCTGGGGAGCCCTGCACGTGCCCGGGGATGAGATGAGGACGAGGCGAGACGAGCACGCTGGCGCGGGGTCGGACTGCACACGAGGACGCGTGCCCTTCTCACGAGGGACTTACCGAAACTTCACAAACCCATTCAGCGTCCACGCTCGGAGTTTTAAGGGCTCCAGCTGAATTTTAAACATCAAGCTGGCTAAGAAGTCTTCTCCCCAGAAGTGTGGGAAGCTCCGGAAAGCTCCTCGAGCCTGCAGTGGGGGTGCTGCTGGGGGTGGGCAGGAGAGCAGCGTGCGCTTAAGCATGCCCGGCCGGGCCCCGCACCCTGCTCGCCCCGCCGGCGCCCGCGGGAGCCGCCGCTCTGGAAGCCAGCTCGAGTGCCAGGGCCCGCG